GAGGCGCATGCCAGAACTATTGGACATATTTTTAGTGGTAGGGGAAACCGGAGTACCCGGAGGAAACCTACGCAGACACGGGGAGAACATGCAAACTCCACTCAGAAAGGCCCTGGTCCGACCGGGATTCGAACCCAGGACCTTCTTGCTGAGAGGCGAGAGTGCTATCCACTCAGCCACCGTGCCGCCCTGAGGAAATCTGAGGAAGTCTAAGGAGGTCTGAGGAGGTCTGAGGAGGTCTGAGGAGGTCTGAAGAGGCCTGAGGAGGTCCTAGGAAGTCTGAGGAGGTCTGAAGAGGTCTTAGGAAGTCTGAGGAGGTCTGAGGAAGTCTGAGGAGGTCTGAGGAAGTCTGAGGAGGTCTGAGGAGGTCTGAGGAAGTGGGAGTGCATGTATCTGTATTTTACTTTTCTGTCACCATCAAAAAGATGGAGTACCGGACTGTAAAACCACACTGCAAAAAAATGATCAAAAATTAGGTAATAAAAGCTTAAATCTAGTGGTTTTTGTCTTAATCTGACACATTGTGACTGTGTTCAAACTAGATTCTCCAAAAGGACAAAGATATTTAACCGTTGTAACAAAAAGTGGAGAATTGACTTTCCAGGTAAAAGCAAATCATGAAGAGCCTTGAGATCGCGTCCTGAAGAAGCCCAAGAGCGTTTTTAACTCTCAGAACCACGAGTGCCTTGGATCGTTCTGACTTTCTGCTCTCCATGATTTGCTTTCATCTGGAAAGACATTGTTTCTGAGTTAAACCCGTGTTCCAATGGAGCTCCTGGACTTTTAAATAACTTCACAGTCTTGCACCACGCAGCACTCTCTACCTTTTTTTTTTTGAGAAACATTTAACTGCTGCTTTATTTTGAATGACTGAATGAATACTTTATTTTGAGCCATGGCAGACAAGAACAAATAACAAAAACAAAACCACAGAATAGAAATAAACAAATACAGTATGTTTGATTTTATTTACAAAAATTCAGCTCGAAAAGCAACAGGAAGAAGTTAAGACTTTTAAACTCCCATTTTCTCATTCCAAAGGAGACATTTCTGTATCTTTTTAGTGAGTAAATAAGTAATGTGTATTTTTACAGCCTGTGGACAGACCAAGGCCCTAAAGCGCTTCACAACGTCCGGGGTTCAGATATTTTTTGCAGTCGCTCCAAACTCTGTGATGACGGATTCATTCAACAAGATTTGCCTTTGTCCCATTGAAGAATCTAGTTTTAAAATGAGTTCAAATTTTAATCAACATTTTGGCTTTGGAAAGCCATGTTCCAGCTTCTTCCCTCTGGCAGAAGATATCGCTCTGAGATGCAGGACATCTCGTTACGCTAACAGTTTTTATCCACAAGCTGTTATCAGTGTGAACAGAGCACTTTAATGATTTGCACTTGTTTTGAAACTGTTTTAGTCGATCCATTTCACAGTGACATTTGTTTACTGTTTTATTTGTTTTATTTTTGTCTTTTAATGTTGTTATGTCTGTATTTGTCTGTGCACACTGGAGACTTTTGCTAATGTATTCCAATGTGGTTTTACTGCAAATGGCAAATAAACTGAATCTGAATCTGAGGCCCTGTCCACACGAAGTCAAGCTCAGGCCTAAACGCAAAAATACTTTATCAATCCAGTGTATCGTCCATACGAGGCCGGCGTTTTGGGGGGGTGTAAACGAACATTTTTGAAACTAGGTCCCAGAGTGGAAAGATTTCAAAACTCCGTATATGCCGCTCCGTGGTTACTGCCTCTCCGCAATGTATCTGAGACGCTTGCGTCATCGCCCCGCCTCTTGTTAAAGCACGCATGCGCCGCACTCAGAAAATAATGACAACAACAATGTAGCTTGTTGGTTTTGTAATCCAGTGTGACCCGAAGCAACAGTTCAACCTCATTGTCCGTCCATACTAATGTAGTACCAGCTCGCCCACTCGCCATGTTGTCTGTTTACAACATTCTGCGCATGCCCAGTTCCCGTCACGGAAGTTTGGGCTTGATCCCGTCATTGCGTCACAGCGCCACCAACAGGTCTGGCATAGTTTCACAGCGTTTTCAGGCGTATTGACTACATTCATATGGACGCACACATTTACTGAGCTAACTCCGTGTTTACAGAAAAAGTTTCTGAAATTATAAGCGTTTTGTCTTCGTGTGGATATAGCCTGAATCTAAATGAAGTTTGTCCTGAGTCTGGTCTGAACAACGAAGATATTTCTGTTTTACTTCATCACAAAAATAAAAACAGGTTGATTCCTTCATGAAGCTCCAGAGTTGGATCTGTAGACTGGCTTCATCATTTGCATAAACAGTTATTAGGGTTAAGTGGAAAAGGTGTTTCATTTCAGCCTAAAATAATCGCCGTCTTTCCTTTTTAAAGAAATATAAATGTTTTAATCATGACAAAAGCAGCTCCTGAAGAATAAACTGCTCCAAGTGATAAAACGTGTTGATTATGTGATTTAAAATGTTTCACAAAATAAAACCAAACATTAACAACTACATAAATATTAAAAATAATGCAGTTTTAGGGACAGAGCTTTTGTCGGTCATAATAAAACTCTGTACAACAAGAGAGAACACATAAAGACTGAACCATTACACTGTAAAACCTTTTATACTTATAATAATCATGCGTTTGGTTCTAGATCATCTGGTGAGCTACCTGAACGGGGCGAGCTACTGGTAGCTCCCGAGCCGCAGACCACTGCCTCAGTGTTTTTAACCCTGTGTGTTCTTGATTTTGGATTTTATTAAGTCTCATTCTTGGATTCTGTTCTTTTTGCCACGAGACATTTTTCACTGCGTTGAAACTTGGAATAAAACATTTATATACAATGTTTTTATATATTTGTCATTTTCTCCAATATTTGTCTTTTGTAAATCTGTAATTATTTATATTTGATGATGTTTAAAGCTTTGTTGTGTCCACTGGAAAAGAGCGGGAAAACTATGTGGAATATTAAAGATGTGATGAATTTAGATCCAAAAATGAAAGTAAAAAATGGATAATTCCATTTCCACATTTTCGAACACGGCCTAAAGTTTAAGGCCTGTTTGTCTGTGAAAGACTCTCCACACCGTTGGTCCAAGTCCTGCGTCTGGTCCAAGCTGTTTCCACTGGTCTGGGTCTGGGTTAAACTGGACTAAATATGTCGTGTTTGGCTGTGATCCCGGGTCATCCCTCAACTCTGCAGGACGTCCCAGAGCAGAGAGGGCAGAGGAGCTGGCTGCCCTTCCATGTACTGCTGCTGTTACTGCTGCTGCTGCTGCTGCTGTTTCAGGGGGGGGGGGGGGTGTTGTGTGTGTGTGTATGTGTGTGTGTGTGGGGTGTGTGTGTGGGGGGGGGCCTGGACGCTGGTTTTGTAGAAAATGACGGGACATGCCAACAAATGACATCACTGCTGGCTGGACGACCAAGGACAAAGCCGTGCCATATGCCAATCGGGGGGAGAGGGGGGGGGGTCCCGGGACGAGCTGTGAATGAATGGGCTGCTGCTCAGTGGCTCCCCCTACAGGACGACCCCTGCCCTGGCCTCTACGCTCCCTCTGGGACACAGGACGGGACTCAAACGAATGTGAAGGATAAACACACAGTGGTGACAGTTGGTAGAGCACTGGTCTTTGAGCCTGAAGGTCGTGGGTTCGAGGCCCACCATAAGACCTACTTCACGACTCCCACTGAGGACTGCTGCCGTTGTGTCCTTGGGCAAGACACTTAACCCCACTTTGCCTGAAGCTCCCACTGTGGACTCACCACCTGCAGGAGGATCAGGGAGGGGCTGCTGCTCTGACTGCCACCCCCGACCCAGACATGGATTAAGGGGAAGAAAATAGATGAATGTTTTTATGTTTCACTGTAAAATCCCGAGGTCGTCCCGACCCAGAGGCCTCTCGAGTGTTTGAATTAGACTTTACTTTTCTGTAATGACTGAAGTAACTAGGATTAAATAAGTATTTTCTTCTTCTCCTTTTCCAGCTTCAGAAAGTGTTTCTGCCAAATGTGAGGATTTCACTGTTTTAGTTATACATATATTTATGTTTTGTTATGTTTCATAAATGTACCTATATCTTCTTTTGATTAATTATTACTAATTATTTCTATCCCCATTTACTTGCTCAAAATAAATAAATAAAAAGAGAGAGAATAAGCTCAATTAAAAACAATTCTAAATATATTAAAATACTAAAAAGACAGTTAAAAACTCATTTTAAGATTCATTTTATCGTTTTGTTAATTATGTCTCATTTTTAATCACTTTCTTTATATTTCCTGTTTATGTTTGTAACTTATTATTATTCCTATGTGAGGAAATGTGCCACAAAAATCTGGTATGACCACAAAAAGTGTCCCACGTTAAAGCACAAGATAAAACCAAAACACTTCAGTTCCAACATTTGAACAGAGAGACTTGGGCTCGTTCCGACAAACATAGAGAGACTCGGGCTCGTTCCCACAAACACAGAGAGAAGTCTTTCTGGAGAAAACACACACAGACGCACACACACACACACACACACGGGGACACACAAACACACACACACACACACACACGGGGACACACAAACACACACAGACACACCTCTGCCTCGGCTCCATATGCAGCACACCTGTCTGCCGTGGGACTCCCTCTCTCCCTCTCTCTCCCTCTCTCTCCTTCTCCCTCTTCCTCTCTCTCCTTCTCCCTCTCCCTCCCTCTCCCTCCCTCAGGCTCCTTCTGGTCCGGGATACCTTCCGCACCTCTTTAGTGTCTCTTTAGTTAGATCATAGGTTCGCAGCCCCTGAAACGCTGTGATTTAGAGCCTGTTTTCTCCTCTGACACGATACAAATGAGCGCAGCATTAGCAGGTCAGGCCGACCCCGCTCGCCCATAATTGCACTAATTGGGACAATATGTTGGAGATAAATCACCCTAAAACCCTCCTGCGGCTCCTTTCATCTCTGCGGCTCCACAAAGGCCACAGACGTGTCACACGTCCCACAAACGCCACAGACACGTCACATGTCCACAAACGCCACAGACGTGTCACACGTCCACAAACGCCACAGACACGTCACATGTCCACAAACGCCACAGACACGTCACACGTCCACAAACGCCACAGACACGTCACACGTCCACAAACGCCACAGACACGTCACACGTCCACAAACGCCACAGACACGTCACACGTCCACAAACGCCACAGACACGTCACACGTCCACAAACGCCACAGACACCCACAAACGCCACAGACACGTCACACGTCCACAAACGCCACAGACACGTCACACGTCCACAAACGCCACAGACACGTCACACGTCCACAAACGCCACAGACACGTCACACGTCCACAAACGCCACAGACACGTCACACGTCCACAAACGCCACAGACACGTCACACGTCCACAAACGCCACAGACACGTCACACGTCCACAAACGCCACAGACACGTCACACGTCCACAAACGCCACAGACACGTCACACGTCCACAAACGCCACAGACACGTCACACGTCCACAAACGCCACAGACACGTCACACGTCCACAAACGCCACAGACACGTCACACGTCCACAACGCCACAGACACGTCACACGTCCACAAACGCCACAGACAGTCACACGTCCACAAACGCCACAGACACATCACACGTCCACAAACGCCACAAACGCCACAGACACGTCACACGTCCACAAACGCCACAGACACGTCACACGTCCACAAACGCCACAGACACATCACACGTCCACACAAACGCCACAAACGCCACAGACACGTCACACGTCCACAAACGCCACAGCAGACACGTCACACGTCCACAAACGCCACAGACATGTCACACGTCCACAAACGCCACAGACACGTCACACGTCCACAAACGCAACAGACACGTCCACAAACGCCACAGACACGTCACACGTCCACAAACGCCACAGACACGTCACACGTCCACAAACGCCACAGACACGTCACACGTCCACAAACGCCACAGACACGTCACACGTCCACAAACGCCACAGACACGTCACACGTCCACAAACGCCACAGACACGTCACACGTCCACAAACGCCACGGACACGTCACACGTCCACAAACGCCACAGACACGTCACACGTCCCACAAACGCCACAGACACGTCACACGTCCACAAACGCCACGGACACGTCACACGTCCACAAACGCCACGGACACGTCACACGTCCACAAACGCCACAAACGCCACACAGACACGTCACACGTCCACAAACGCACACAGACACGTCAAACACGTCCACAAACGCCACAAACGCCACAGACACGTCACACGTCCACAAACGCCACAGACACGTCACACGTCCACAAACGCCACGGACACGGGACACGTCACACGTCCACAAACGCCACAGACACGTCACACGTCCACAAACGCCACAGACACGTCACACGTCCACAAACGCCCCAGACACGTCATCACGTCCCACATAACGCCCACAGACACGTCTCAACACGTCACAAACACGCCACAGACACGTCACACGTCCACAAACGCCACGGACACACACACGCACACACGTCCACACAAACGCCACAGACACGTCACACACGTCCACAAACGGACACAGACACGTCACGACGTCCACCAAACACCACAGACACGTCACATGTCCACAAACGCCGCCACACGACAACGCCACAGACATCACACGTCCACAAACGCCACAGACACGTCACACGTCCACAAACGCCCACAGACACGTCCACAACACGTCCACACAAACGTCCACGTCCACAAACGCCACAGACACACAAGAGAGAGAGCAGAGAGAGAGAGAGAGAGAGAGCAGAGAGAGCAGAGAGAGCAGAGAGAGCAGCAGAGAGAGCAGAGAGAGCAGAGAGAGCAGAGAGAGCAGAGAGAGCAGAGAGAGCAGAGAGAGCAGAGAGAGAGCAGAGAGAGCAGAGAGAGCAGAGAGAGAGCAGAGAGAGCAGAGAGAGCAGAGAGAGCAGAGAGAGCAGAGAGAGCAGAGCAGAGAGAGCAGAGAGAGCAGAGAGAGAGCAGAGAGAGCAGAGTGAGCAGAGCAGAGAGCAGAGAGAGCAGAGTGAGAAGAGTGAGAGAGAGCAGAGAGAGCAGAGAGAGCAGAGTGAGCAGAGTGAGAGAGAGCAAGAGAGAGCAGAGAGAGCAGAGTGAGCAGAGAGAGCAGAGAGAGCAGAGAGAGCGAGAGAGAGCAGAGAGAGCAGAGAGAGAGAGAGAGCAAGAGAGAGAGAGAGAGAGAGCAGAGAGAGCAGAGAGAGCAGAGAGAGCAGAGAGAGCAGAGAGAGCAGAGAGTGAGCAGAGAGAGCAGAGTGAGAAGAGTGAGCAGAGAGAGCGAGAGAGCAGAGAGAGCAGGAGAGAGAGAGAGCAGAGAGAGCAGAGAGAGCAGAGAGAGCAGAGAGAGAGCAGAGGAGCAGAGAGAGCAGAGAGAGCAGAGAGTGAGCAGAGAGTGAGCAGAGTAGCAGAGAGAGAGAGAGAGAGAGAGCAGAGAGAGCAGAGAGAGCAGAGAGAGCAGAGGAGCAGAGAGAGAGGAGAGAGAGCAGAGAGAGCAGAGAGAGCAGAGAGAGCAGAGAGAGCAGAGAGAGCAGAGGAGCAGAGAGAGCAGAGAGAGCAGAGAGCAGAGAGAGAGAGCAGAGAGAGCAGAGAGAGCAGAGAGAGCAGAGAGAGCAGAGAGAGCAGAGAGAGAGAGTGAGCAGAGAGAGCAGAGAGAGCAGAGAGAGCAGAGAGAGCAGAGAGAGCAGAGAGAGAGAGCAGAGAGAGCAGAGAGAGCAGAGAGAGCAGAGTGAGCAGAGAGAGCAGAGAGAGCAGAGAGAGAGCAGAGAGAGAGCAGAGAGAGCAGAGTGAGCAGAGAGAGCAGAGAGAGAGAGCAGAGAGAGAGAGAGCAGAGAGAGCAGAGAGAGCAGAGTGAGCAGAGGAGCAGAGAGAGCAGAGAGAGCAGAGAGAGCAGAGAGAGAGCAGAGAGAGCAGAGAGAGCAGAGAGAGCAGAGAGAGCAGAGAGAGCAAGAGAGCAGAGAGAGCAGAGAGAGCAGAGAGAGCAGAGAGAGCAGAGAGAGCAGAGAGAGCAGAGAGAGAGAGCAGAGAGAGCAGAGAGAGCAGAGAGAGCAGAGAGAGCAGAGAGAGAGCAGAGAGAGCAGAGAGAGCAGAGAGAGCAGAGAGAGCAAGAGAGCAGAGAGAGCAAGAGAGAGAGAGCAAGAGAGAGCAGAGAGAGCAGAGAGAGCAGAGGAGAGAGAGCAGAGAGCAGAGAGAGCAGAGAGGAGCAGAGGAGAGAGGAGAGGAGCAGAGGAGCAGAGAGCAGAGTGAGCAGAGGAGAGAGCAGAGAGAGAGCAGAGAGAGCAGAGAGCAGAGAGAGCAGAGAGAGCAGAGTGAGCAGAGTGAGCAGAGTGAGCAGAGAGAGCAGAGAGCAGAGAGAGAAGAGTGAGCAGAGAGAGCAGAGAGAGCAGAGAGAGCAGAGAGAGCAGAGAGAGAGAGAGAGAGAGCAGAGAGAGCAGAGAGAGAGAGAGAGAGAGAGAGAGCAGAGAGCAGAGAGAGCAGAGCAGAGAGCAGAGAGAGCAGAGCAGAGAGAGAGCAGAGAGAGCAGAGAGAGCAGAGAGAGCAGAGAGGAGCAGAGAGAGCAGAGAGCAGAGAGAGCAGAGAGAGCAGAGCAGAGAGAGCAGAGAGAGCAGAGAGAGCAGAGAGTGAGCAGAGAGCAGAGAGTGAGCAGAGAGCAGAGAGAGCAGAGCAGAGAGAGCAGAGAGAGCAGAGAGAGCAGAGCAGAGAGAGCAGAGAGAGCAGAGAGTGAGCAGAGAGAGCAGAGAGCAGAGAGAGCAGAGAGTGAGCAGAGAGAGCAGAGAGCAGAGAGAGCAGAGAGTGAGCAGAGAGAGCAGAGAGCAGAGAGTGAGCAGAGAGAGCAGAGAGAGCAGAGAGTGAGCAGAGAGAGCAGAGAGCAGAGAGAGCAGAGAGAGCAGAGAGAGCAGAGAGAGCAGAGAGAGCAGCAGAAACACAGTCAGAGTCAGAGAGACAGAGGGAGCAGCCTGGAGAAGGTCTATACCGAGCTCCAATCTCTGCTCTGAGAAAGCACTGCATCAATCTGTATTTTGTTTGTGTCTTTTCTTGTTGTGTTTGTTTTACATGGACCCTTTGTGTGTCTGAATGAAAGATTAAATAAAAAAATAAAATATCTTCTATATGTGAGGGTAGATTTTAATAATAATTTATAAAACTAAACAGCGCTTTTTGGACACTTTAAAAATAAACAGGTTAAAAATAATCAAAAGCAGCTGAAGGATCACATTCTTTTTAACGCACCGTGATTATTAATGATTTTAATGCCTTTCTGTGATTGTTTTTATCGTGTTTGGTTCAGCACTTTGACTTGCCTCTGTATGAACTGTGCTATACAAATAACCTTGCCTTGTTAAACATTTAGAATAATAAATATGGTCCTAAAGCAGGTGGGAAAGAGTAGACATTAAAAAGGCACTATACACCAGACTGGACTCACCGAGGAAATGGGCGGAGTCTAAGGTGCTCCTGCTTAGTTGGTGTGAAAACCCGCACTCACACTGACCCTCTGAGGACTGGTCTGTCGTGTGGAGTGTTTTAAGACCCACTTTTTTATTCTTTGGCTCTTATTCTGTGTTTTTGTTCTATTCATGGTATTTATGGTTTTAATCTGTTTTAAATATTTTATCAATATTGTTAGTGCAAATATTAAACTAGTTTGTGCAGCACTTTGGAAACCTGATGTTGCTTAAATGTGCTATATAGAAAAAGTGGACTGGACTGGACTGGACTGGACTGGTTTGACTCTCCTGCTTCATGTTGAAACTAAACCCCAGTGAACTCACCAAAGTATTCGTTGAGGAAGGCGAGGGAGGCGAGGTAGCAGCCCAGACTCAGGAACTCAGCCAGGACCATGAGCCAGTGCCAGGTCCGGACCGTGAGCGCCACCATCAGGAGCTCCGTGAGAACCAGCGCCGTGAAGGAGATGGCCACCACGTGCACGAACTCGGACTCAAACAGCACCAGGCCGCCATACATGAGGATTCCACCTGAGGGCGCCACACACACACACATTCAGATGAAGACACACACACAGAGACACAGAGAAAGAGACACAAGCTGCGTTTCCATTGAGCATCAAATTTCGAAATTTGAATTTGCGCATCATAAAATGTCTAATGGAAACGCGCAAATTTCGAATAAACCACAGTTTTTCGATAAAAAGTTAATGCGCTTAAAATCGGTGGTTTTTTGGACGTATCGAAATTAAGTTTTTCGCAAAACGGCAATGGAAACACTTATTTCGATATAGCGGAGGAAGCCGAGCTGCTTTATTCAGTGAGTTTTGGCTGCGCTTCGTGTGGAGACTTGGGAGATACGTGGGAGAGGCATGGGGGAGAGACGGGGAAGAGACGGGGGAGAGGCATGGGGGAGAGACGGGGAAGAGACGGGGGAGAGGCATGGGGGAGAGACATGGGGGAGAGACGGGGGAGAGGCATGGGGGAGAGACGGGGAAGAGACGGGGGAGAGGCATGGGGGAGAGACGGGGAAGAGACGGGGGAGAGACGGGGGAGAGGCATGGGGGAGAGACGGGGGAGAGACGGGGGAGAGGCATGGGCAAGAGACGGGGAAGAGACGGGGGAGAGGCATGGGGGAGAGACGGGGAAGAGACGGGGGAGAGGCATGGGGGAGAGACGGGGAAGAGACGGGGGAGAGGCATGGGGGAGATACGGGGGAGAGGCATGGGGGAGAGACGGGGGAGAGGCATGGGGGAGAGACGGGGAAGAGACGGGGGAGAGACGGGGAAGAGACGGGGGAGAGGCATGGGGGAGAGACGGGGAAGAGACGGGGGAGAGGCATGGGGGAGAGACGGGGGAGAGACGGGGGAGAGGCATGGGGGAGAGACGGGGAAGAGACAGGGGAGAGGCATGGGGGAGAGACGGGGGAGAGACGGGGGAGAGGCATGGGGGAGAGACGGGGAAGAGACGGGGGAGAGGCATGGGGGAGAGACGGGGGAGAGACGGGGGAGAGGCATGGGGGAGAGACGGGGAAGAGACGGGGGAGAGGCATGGGGGAGAGACGGGGAAGAGACGGGGGAGAGGCATGGGGGAGAGACGGGGGAGAGACGGGGAAGAGACGGGGGAGAGACGGGGAAGAGACGGGGGAGAGGCATGGGGGAGAGACGGGGAAGAGACGGGGGAGAGGCATGGGGGAGAGAGGGGGAGAGACGGGGGAGAGGCATGGGGGAGAGACGGGGAAGAGACGGGGGAGAGGCATGGGGGAGAGACGGGGAAGAGACGGGGGAGAGGCATGGGGGAGAGACGGGGGAGAGACGGGGGAGAGGCATGGGGGAGAGACGGGGGAGAGGCATGGGGGAGAGACGGGGGAGAGGCATGGGGGAGAGGCATGGGGAAGAGACGGGGGAGAGACGGGGAAGAGACGGGGGAGAGACGGGGGAGAGACGGGGGAGAGGCATGGGGGAGAGACGGGGGAGAGGCATGGGGGAGAGGCATGGGGGAGAGACGGGGGAGAGGCATGGGGGAGAGACGGGGGAGAGGCATGGGGGAGAGGCATGGGGGAGAGACGGGGGAGAGGCATGGGGGAGAGACGGGGAAGAGACGGGGAAGAGACGGGGAGAGACGGGGAAGAGACGGGGGAGAGACGGGGGAGAGACGGGGGAGAGGCATGGGGGAGAGACGGGGGAGAGGCATGGGGGAGAGACGGGGGAGAGGCATGGGGGAGAGACGGGGAAGAGACATGGGGGAGAGACGGGGAAGAGACGGGGAGAGACGGGGGAGAGGCGGGGAAGAGACGGGGGAGAGGCGGGGGAAGAGACGGGGGAGAGACGGGGGAGAGGCATGGGGGAGAGACGGGGGGAGAGACGGGGGAGAGGCATGGGGGAGAGACGGGGGAGAGGCATGGGGGAGAGACGGGGAAGAGACGGGGGAGAGGCATGGGGGAGAGACGGGGGAGAGACGGGGGAGAGGCATGGGGGAGAGACGGGGGAGAGACGGGGGAGAGGCATGGGGGAGAGACGGGGGAGAGGCATGGGGGAGAGACGGGGAAGAGACGGGGGAGAGGCATGGGGGAGAGACGGGGGAGAGACGGGGGAGAGGCATGGGGGAGAGACGGGGGAGAGGCATGGGGGAGAGACGGGGGAGAGGCATGGGGGAGAGGCATGGGGGAGAGACGGGGGAGAGGCATGGGGGAGAGACGGGGGAGAGGCATGGGGGAGAGACGGGGAAGAGACATGGGGGAGAGACGGGGAAGAGACGGGGAGAGACGGGGAGAGGCGGGGAGAGACGGGGGAGAGGCGGGGGAGAGACTGGGGAGAGACATGGGGAGAGGCAGGGGAGAGACGGGGAGAGGCATGGGGGAGAGACGGGGAAGAGACGGGGGAGAGGCATGGGGGAGAGACGGGGGAGAGACGGGGGAGAGGCATGGGGGAGAGACGGGGGAGAGGGAGAGGCATGGGGGAGAGACGGGGGAGAGGCATGGGGGAGAGACGGGGGAGAGGCATGGGGGAGAGACGGGGAGAGAGACGGGGAAGAGACGGGGGAGAGACGGGGAAGAGACGGGGAGAGACGGGGGAGAGACGAGGGAGAGACGGGGGAGAGACGGGGGAGAGGCATGGGGGAGAGACGGGGGAGAGGCATGGGGGAGAGACGGGGGAGAGGCATGGGGGAGAGACGGGGGAGAGGCATGGGGGAGAGACGGGGAAGAGACATGGGGGAGAGACGGGGAAGAGACGGGGGAGAGACGGGGGAGAGGCGGGGAAGAGACGGGGGAGAGGCGGGGGAAGAGACGGGGGAGAGACGGGGGAGAGGCATGGGGGAGAGACGGGGGAGAGACGGGGGAGAGGCATGGGGGAGAGACGGGGGAGAGGCATGGGGGAGAGACGGGGAAGAGACGGGGGAGAGGCATGGGGGAGAGACGGGGGAGAGACGGGGGAGAGGCATGGGGGAGAGACGGGGGAGAGACGGGGGAGAGGCATGGGGGAGAGACGGGGGAGAGGCATGGGGGAGAGACGGGGGAGAGGCATGGGGGAGAGACGGGGGAGAGGCATGGGGGAGAGACGGGGGAGAGGCATGGGGGAGAGGCATGGGGGAGAGGCATGGGGGAGAGACGGGGGAGACAGGCAAGACCCGTGTCTATGGTTCTGTGAGCGCGTCTATGGTCCGCGCTCGGTACATGACCACGCGCGTTCGCGGAGCTGTCAAAGCAGCCACAGTTTCTCCCGGGGTCAGAGAGGATGAGAGCCGCAGCAGAAGTCAAGACATTAATATATCTCACGTAAATCAAAGTGTTGTTTACTTCTGTTTCCATGTTGACGTACTAGAAACTAGTGAATAAACGTGCGAAAATAGTGTATACTTATTCGAATATGTCTTAATGGAAACGGCCGCTTTTGCGAATTACAGGTTTTTCGAATTTTGAAATGTATCGAAAAAGTTTTTGCGCATTATTCAATGGAAACGCAGCTACTGACACACGCATAGAGATACAGAGATACACACACACACACACATACAGATGAAGACACACACACAGAGACACAGAGAAAGAGACACAGACACACGCATAGAGATACAGAGATACACACACACACACACAAACACACACATACAGATGAAGACACACACAGAGAGAGATCCAGAGAAAGAGAGACACACACATACAGATACAGATACACACACACACACACACACACACACACACAGAGAGAGACACATAGAAAGAGACACACACAGACACACACACACATACACACAGACACACAGACACAGAGACAAACACACACTTTATTCCACCCACAGTGACTCAGTAAAGAGAGAGTATTCACATGTGATCCATCCATTTTCTTCCGCTTTATCCGTTGCCGGGTCACGGGGACACATGTGGTCCCATATTGCACATTCTGACATTATTGTATATTCTGACATTATTGTATATTCTGACATTATTGTATATTCTGACATTATTGTATATTCTGACATTATTGTATATTCTGACATTATTGTATATTCTGACATTATTGTATATTCTGACATTATTGTATATTCTGAGATTATTGTATATTCTGACATTATTGTATATTCTGAGATTATTGTATATTCTGAGATTATTGTATATTCTGACATTATTGTATATTCTGACATTATTGCACATGCGAGGTCAGGTCACATGTGGGGTATTAAAACACACAACAGAAAACAACTGTAAATGATGAACTAACTTTGGTATAATCCCAGGCCTTATATAAAACTACTTCATCCATAAATACAACATTCGTCGCTATAAGAGGATGGAATAGTCACTTGCTCTGGCGCCCGCTGGATCCTGATCCTCTCATTCATCAAAACTCGCCACAAATTGGCGCTAATAGACTGGAACGGATCTCATAATCGCCTCTTCAAACAGAATTACAGACGCTCAAACTCTATTAAATTAAACTTCATATTTCTCATTTTTGAGTTCGTTTTCGCATTTGTCCGAAGTCCCTGGTTTTTGGGCTTTAATTAAAAAGCAGGTTTTGTGGAAGTCACGGTCCAGCGGAGGCAAAGACCCGAGCCTCCCGTGCGGCTTGGCTTAGTGACTCTGAAATATCCATTTACTGCACGGACAAAAGGCACATGTACAACAGTCTGGGCCCGAAACACTAGATTCTGAGAAACTGCCATAGACACACAACTGTACCGAGGACACACAACTGTACCGAGGACACACAACTGTATACAACTTATAATGGCTAATGTAAATAGTGTAAATGTGTGTATACTCCTCTCTCTCTATGGAACTCCTCTCTCTCTATGGAACTCCTCTCTCTCTATGGAACTCCTCTCTCTCTATGGAACTCCTCTCTCTCTATGGAACTCCTCTCTCTCTATGGAACTCCTCTCTCTCTATGGAACTCCTCTCTCTCTATGGAACTCCTCTCTCTCTATGGAACTCCTCTCTCTATGGAACTCCTCTCTCTATGGAACTCCTCTCTCTATGGAACTCCTCTCTCTATGGAACTCCTCTCTCTATGGAACTCCTCTCTCTATGGAACTCCTCTCTCTCTATGGAACTCCTCTCTCTATGGAACTCCTCTCTCTATGGAACACCTCTCTCTATGGAACACCTCTCTCTCTATGGAACTCCTCTCTCTATGGAACACCTCTCTATGGAACACCTCTCTCTATGGAACACCTCTCTATGGAACACCTCTCTCTATGGAACTACTAAACAGGTCTAACGGGATGTGGCTTTCACACAGCAATAAAATAATATTCTGATTCCCCTGCAGGTGGCGCCACACAGTGGTGAGAGTCTTACCTTGGTAAACACTGATCAGAACCCAGATGAGGAAGGTCTTAAACGACAACGATCGTCCCTGAAGCAGAGAAACATCAGTGAGTTTATGTGTTAGTGATGTTACGGTATAGTGTATTATTATTATTATTTGTTTATTTGATAGGGACAGAACAAGAAGCATTGTTACAGGAACCGATGCTGTGTTCATAGGCCGTATAGCTAACAGCTAGTTTGCAGACCTGGTCCCTAAAACCTAGAAATACATCACATTTACATTATACATACATCATTATATTAAAAAAATAAGTAATAAGTTATACTAAATAATAAACAAGAATACAATACAAAAAAAAAAAAAAAAAAAAAGAATTCAATAAATTATTACAGTCTTGCATTATGCTCACAAGTTTGGGTCCTTTTGAGCCATAGTTTGACTTTAATTTTAAACTCCTTCAAGTCTGTTAGGGCTTTCAGTTCTGCAGGTACCGTGTTCCAAAGCTCTGGCCCTTTCACTGCGAACGCAGTCTGTCCAAATGATGTTTTACATCTTGTTGCTCTGCAGTCTCTATTGGCAGCGCCCCTAGTGGTCATCCTGTGAGCTACACATTTCTCAATCATTCCTCAGTATCTTCTCAGTATTTTCTCAGTATTTTCTCAGTATTATATTATATTATATTATATTATATTATATTATATTATATTATATTATATTATATTATATTATATTATATTATATTATATTATATTATATTATATTATAATATATAATAATATATATATTATTATATACATATACATATAGATGTTAGAGTGTATATAAGAGCGTGGACAGACCTTGGTGAGGTCCTTGTACAGCTCTGGGTAAAGCAGAGCCATCTCTGGTTTGACATCCTGGTCCAGGACCAGCGAGAACACTGGGAACATGGTGTAGATGGTGGCATAGCTGCAAAAACACACATCATCAAAACACACACTATACACACTGTCACACACAGACACACACTGTCACAGTCCTGTCAGGATTAAACATGCAGAGGCAGTATTTCAGATATATGAAACCTGGAACAGTCTTCCTGAAAATGTGAGACAGGCTTCTGCTCTGACGATGTTCAAATCCAGGTTAAAAACAACTGAAGGATTGATCTTTGCTCTTCTGAATGATTATGTTTGATTCTAATGCCATGACTTCAATGTTTCTGTCCTTGTTTTGTTGAGCACTTCTCTTCCTTTACAGTGACGCACATGTTTTACCTCTGGATGGACGTGGATGTGACAATTGTACAAAACTTTTATATTCAAACATGTATAAAAAAAATACTGAAAAATCAATCTTTCTCTCAAAAAACAAACGTGCCAAACCCAGCAGCACTCACCCGACCATGAGGAAGCCCTGGTACAGCGGCACTGAGGCGAAGTAGAAGATGGACGAGAAAACAGCCTGAGGAGGAACGACTCCGGTTAAAACAGAATCAGAATTATTATTATTACCATTTTAACTCACCAGAAAAAAAACTAGGAATTTGCTTTGGCTCAAGATGCAAACAAGTGAGAATAACGACAGGTCGAGGCGTACAACAAATGTCTTAAAATTACTGCCGCAGCAGAGTTTGTGGCAGTACAGAGTGGATTTAAAGAAAACTGAAGGATTTAAGAAGAAAAAAGTTCAGGATGACAAGGGACACTAAAATCAGGTTCTCTGTCAAGGTTCTCTGTCAAGGTTCTCTGTCAAGGTTCTCTGTCAAGGTTCTCTGTCAAGGTTCTCTGTCAAGGTTCTCTGTCAAGGTTCTCTGTCAAGGTTCTCTGTCAAGGTTCTCTGTCAAGGTTCTCTGTCAAGGTTCTCTGTCAAGGTTCTCTGTCAAGGTTCTCTGTCAAGGTTCTCTGTCAAGGTTCTCTGTCAAGGTTCTCTGTCAAGGTTCTCTGTCAAGGTTCTCTGTCAAGGTTCTCTGTCATGGTTCTCTGTCAAGGTTCTCTGTCAAGGTTCTCTGTCAAGGTTCTCTGTCAGTTGAGGTCGAGCTGTTTTAGTTTACATTGAGTTCTATGAAAATGTTTCTGGGTAAGGTGAATGTAGTCTGCAGTACCACAGCGCCCCCTGTGGCCATGAGTTATAAGCTATAAGCTATCTTATAAGCTATAAGATAATACTATATCCAGATGTTATTATAGATAACAAGACATTTAGAAGGACAGTTAAAGCAACAGTAGCATAAAGTCGGTCGTGAAGAGCGAGGGTCAGAGGTCGCACCTGCATAGTGGAGATGATCATGCCACGGTGCATCACAAACTGCCCCAGGGCGGCTGAGCGCTTGTAGCTGTTCCTGCCGTGGACCATGAGGAGGCGCCCGATGTGTTTGAACTGAGTGATGGAGAAGTCTGCGGCGAGAGAGGCCTGCTTCCCCTCCTGCTCCGGGACACAGGAGACGGTGAGTCCAGAGACAGATGAGTTTTACGTTAAAGAAGCCTTTACCTTTCCTTCTATTCCAATGCCACAGTCCGCCGCTTGGATCATGCTCACGTCGTTCCCTCCATCACCTGAAGCCGTAAAACCAGAATCAGGACTATTCTTATTGTCATTGTGAGTAACGGGAAGTAGTAGTAGTAAATAGTAAGTAATTTATATACCGCTTTTCACAGACCAGAGTCACAAAGCGCTTTACAATAGTTATTTATTTTTGGGCATGTTTTTGTCTCTGACTCCACACAGAGATGGGAGGGGCCAGTACAGGAGGCACAGACCTACTGTACATGTTTTTAGTGGTAGGGGAAACCGGAGCACCTGGAGGAAACCTACACAGACACGGGGAGAACATGCAAACTCCACTCAGAAAGACCCTGTTCGGACCGGGATTCGAACCCAGGACCTTCTTGCTGAGAAGCGAGAGTACTATCCACTCAGCCACCGAGCCGTCCACCGAAGTCACAAATAAGGAGATTGCTTTGGCTCCAAATCCCACTGGTCGTTTGTGGGTGCGCATCCCTTTCTCAATACGAGGGGTTTCTCCATTTCTTTTTCACTGGGTTTTGACTTTTTGAGTGGGGTCTAAGGAGGGTCTGAACTCAGTGATGATCCGGGACATTTATGAACATTTACAGACATTACCTTTAAACAAACGGCTCCAATGTGTTTGTTATTATTATTATAACAACTGTAAGTCTTCTGAGGCGACTGCGGCTGGGATTTAGGGCTAATAACACAGATATAAAGGAATTGTTGTGTGTATTAATAACTGCAGATATTATAATGTAATCTAAACTAAACATAATTACTTTTAAGATAATTTAGTGCACAGTTATTTTAGGATCTACGACACCAGAAGACTTTTAAAAACCCTAGTGAATAATTATAGAAAAACGCCATAGAAGGACTGAGGCGATGATCCAGGACACGACACTTATGGACATTGGTCAACTCCCTTTGGATCAATAAGTGTGTGTTCTGTTTTCTCTGTGTTTGAACGGTTTGATTCTCTGATCTGTGTTGGAGATTTCAACGGTTTTGTAAAGTCCAGATAAATACTGTTGTGATTTAGGGCCATACAAGAATGAATTGAGCAGCTGACAGTGGCTCAGTTGGTAGAGCATCGGCCTTAGGAGCCTGACATTTTGTGGGTTCGAGTCCAACGTAAGACCTACTCCCACTGATGTCTGCTGTTGTTGTGTCCTTGGGCAAGACACTTAACCCCCCTTTGCCTGAAGCCCCCACTGAAAGATCTCAGCTCCTGTGGACTCAGCACCTGCAGGAGGATCAGTGAGGGGCTGGTGCTCTGTGTCCTGGGTGCAGCTCTGACTGCCACCCCCCAACCCAGAAATGGATTAAGGGGAAGAAGATGGATGGATGATTGAATTGAATATAAATCAAAGTAAAGTCTGAGTAAAAACTGCTACAGACTAAATGTATAAAGGTCATTATGTCTTATGTTGGACTAAAACTTGTTTATTTCTGAAGGTTCTGAAAACTGCAGCGAGTCCAAAGTGTCTCTGAAACCGTTGTTTTGTGTTTTACAATTTTTATTTTATTTCTTTTTTCTGCCTGAGATGTTGCTGCAGTTCAGTGTTCATGGTTTTACACTGGTCCAGACCAGAGCAGAGAGGATTCATGGTTTTACACTGGTCCAGACCAGAGCAGAGAGGATTCATGGTTTTACACTGGTCCAGACCAGAGCAGAGAGGGTTCATGGTTTTACACTGGTCCAGACCAGAGCAGAGAGGGTTCATGGTTTGACACTGGTCCAGACCAGAGCAGAGAGGATTCATGGTTTTACACTGGTCCAGACCAGAGCAGAGAGGATTCATGGTTTTACACTGGTCCAGACCCGAGCAGAGAGGATTCATGGTTTTACACTGGTCCAGACCAGAGCAGAGAGGGTTCATGGTTTTACACTGGTCCAGACCAGAGCAGAGAGGATTCATGGTTTTACACTGGTCCAGACCAGAGCAGAGAGGATTCATGGTTTTACACTGGTCCAGACCAGAGCAGAGAGGATTCATGGTTTTACACTGGTCCAGACCAGAGCAGAGAGGATTCATGGTTTTACACTGGTCCAGACCAGAGCAGAGAGGATTCATGGTTTTACACTGGTCCAGACCAGAGCAGAGAGGATTCATGGTTTTACACTGGTCCAGACCAGAGCAGAGAGGATTCATGGTTTTACACTGGTCCAGACCAGAGCAGAGAGGATTCATGGTTTTACACTGGTCCAGAGCAGAGCAGAGAGGATTCATGGTTTTACACTGGTCCAGACCAGAGCAGAGAGGATTCATGGTTTTACACTGGTCCAGACCAGAGCAGAGAGGATTCATGGTTTTACACTGGTCCAGACCAGAGCAGAGAGGATTCATGGTTTTACACTGGTCCAGACCAGAGCAGAGAGGATCATGATCTCTCTATCTAAAGAACCTTCTATGCGCTGCTGCAGACTGATGTAATGAACAGTGAGTGGATGTAGAAGGGAGTCGAACCTATGGCGCAGGTCCTGTTGTCCGTGTGCTGCTGCAGGAGGGTGACGATCTGAGCCTTCTGAGTGGGAGAGCAGCGGCAGCACACCACGGCCGGACACTGACACGCCAGCTCCACAAACTCATGCTCATAGTAACGCAGACACACCTACGGAACAACACAACACATCAGTGTGTGTCAGTCACTCAGCTTCATCTTCATCATCATCACTTTCATTACAGACTCATGGTCCAAGATCAATGAATGAGCCAGTGTTAGCAATCTCTGGATAAGTGTGCAAACTTTAAACTTTTGGCTCTTCTTCTTTTGATTAAAGCTAAAAATAATTAAAAACCATATATTGTAGTTCAAATGCAAGGACTGAAGCAGGACTAAAGCAGGTCTAAAGCAGGACTAAAGCAGGTCTAAAGCAGGACTAAAGCAGGTCTAAAACAGGTCTAAAGCAGGTCTAAAGCAGGTCTAAAGAAGGACTAAAGCAGGTCTAAAGCAGGTCTAAAGCAGGACTAAAGCAGGTCTAAAGCAGGTCAAAAGCAGGACTAAAGCAGGTCTAAAGCAGGACTAAAGCAGGACTAAAGCAGGACTAAAGCAGGTCTAAAGCAGGTCTAAAGCAGGTCTAAAGCAGGACTAAAGCAGGTCTAAAGCAGGACTAAAGCAGGACTAAAGCAGGATTAAAGCAGGTCTGAAGCACCTCTAAGGAGTCTCCGGAGATGACCAGGGCGCAGTCATGTTTCCTCCTGAAGGCGTTGAGCTCCAGATGGGCCTCTCCGCGGTTCGACACCTGAGAACATTAGCATAACAGCGTAGCATTAGCATTAGCCACGGAGCGCAGCTGGAGGCTTGGTTTGAGTGACGTACGGGTTTGAAGACGTGGATGTCCTGGCTGCGGGACACCAGGTGAGAGCTCTTGGCGATGCACGTGGCCGTCTCCAGTTTGTCGCCGGTCAACATCCAAATCTGGAAAGAATCACACGACAAACATCAAGGGGCGGAAAAAATCTGCACAGCGATGTAGCTCCCAATGTTTTATATTCTTTTGTATTGTGTACTTTTCTGAATCCAGAAAACTAGATCAGGGGATTGGAGAGAGCGGCGTATGCTTGAAACCCAATGTCAATGTTAAAACTGGGGTTCCTAACTTTTTTAATACTTTAATGTATCTATTTATTTGAACATTATCAACTCTGCACTAAAGGAGAGGGCTGAAGCAACAAGTTTAAGCACGGCCACCGCCTTCAGATTCACATTCAGTTTATTCTGAATTTGCAGTTTACACAGTAGAACATTTCCGCAGATAATCCCAGTGTGCACAATAAACTCCATTTATATTCAATTCAACTTGAAATTTCATTTAAATCACGACTTATCCTGTAACTAGGGACTGCAGATGGAAATGAACTATAATGTGGCTTTGAGCTCGAGAGCACTGTCCCGTTCAAAGAAACTTATTTTAGTACAGATCTAAATCACAGCAGCAGACGTCTTAGAGAACTTTACAACAACCTTAACAACAGATCTGAGAATCAAACCGATCAAACACAAGAATTACAATAACAATAAACACACACTGTCCATAAATGTTTATAAATGCATCGGGCAAAAGAAGGAGTCAAAAAAAGAAACAAAAGTGAAACATTTCCAGAAAGTAAACTCAAGAGAGAAAATCACACATTAGTTTGTTCCAACAGAAAGAGGCCACAACAAGAGGTTTTCTTCTTCTTATCATTAGAAAACACTGAGATCTGTGTAAGTCAGTATATGATGCTTTGGGCCTCTCCACCGAGAGCAATACAACGGTTCAGATTCTTAAAACAACCTGGTCCTTATACAAGTAAGTCATGTTTATTTATTATAGCACCTTTCACAGACCAGAGTCACAAATTACAATAGCCTCTGACTCCACACAGAGATGGGAGGGGCCAGTACAGGAGGCACAGACCTACTCTACATGTTTTTAGTGGTAGGGGAAACTGGAGCACATGGAGGAAACCTATGCTTTGAGTGGAGCGTCCCAGTCCCAGACCTTGATGCCTGCGTTGCGGAGCAGTTCCAGCGTGGGCCTGACGTCGGTCTGCAGCTGGTCCTCCACTCCGGTCAGACACAGCAGCTCCATCTCCCGCTCCAGACTCTCCACCACCGCCGCCACCTTCAGCCCGCGGTCGTGGACGCTCAGCTTGGCCTGGTTGTACCGGTTCTGGAGCCGGACACAAGGCACAGAGAGCAAAGACAGAGGTGTTTAGTTATAAGATCCATCCATCTTCTTCCCCCTAATCCATTTCTGGTTCGGTTTTTTTGTTTTAAGATACAATAAACTTTAATGATCTCAAAATGGAGAACTTTACATGTCATATTTGATATAACTGGAATCACTCGAGGTGTGGAAAAGTATGAAAAAATGTAAAAGGGTTAAAATATTATGTACAATAAAAGGGACTATTTTTGTGTTTCATTAAACTGGCCAGTAGGGGGCGCATGAGCAGAGGTGGGACAGTGTTGCTCCATGTAAAACCATGTAAAGTCTGTTTTGGAGTCAAAGGTTCTCCTCCTGTGCGGTGTACGGTTGTTGGAACAGTCTTAATCGGGGACACTCAATTCTAAGGGAGGACTAACAAATATTTATCAAAAGAGTCTTGATTTCGGGCATTTTTGGAAAAAAATACAGAAGAAATCACTGCGTTTCATTGGGGTGGCCTGCAGGGGGCGCTTATCTGGGAAAGCCTTGATCCACCTCCGCCTCATTCCAGTGATTTTTTCAAAGTGTCCTTTATATGAGACACAGTTGGAACATGAACAAACTCTGTCTTTCTCTATTTGTGCGGTTGCTACAAAACGTACACCGCACACAAAGATGCTTCTTCTTCTACTATATCTCCGTGTACATTGCCCTGCGAAAGTATTTGGCCCCCTTGAACCTTTCAACATTTCGCCATATTTCAGGCTTCAAACATAAAGATATAAAATTAAAATTTTTTGTCATGAATCAACAACAAGTGGGACACAATCGTGAAGTGGAACGAAATGTATTGGATAATTTAAACTTTAACAAATAAAAAGCTGAAAAGTGGGGCGTGCAATATTATTCGGCCCCTTTACTTTCAGTGCAGCAAACTCAGTCCAGAAGTTCAGTGAGGATCTTTGAATGATCCAATGTTGTCCTAAATGACTGAAGATGATAAATAGAATATACGGAGACTTGTGTAATCAAGTCTCCGTATAAATGCACCTGCTCTTTGATAGTCTCAGGGTTCTGTTTAAAGCACAGAGAGAACCATGAAGACAAAGGAACACACCAGGCAGGTCCCAGATACTGTTGTGGAGAAGTTTAAAGCCGGATTTGGATACAAAAAGATTTCCCAAGCTTTAAACATGTCAAGGAGCACTGTGCAAGCAATTATATTGAAATGGAAGGAGTATCAGACCACTGCAAATCTACCAAGACCCGGCCGTCCCTCCAAACTTTCATCTCAAACAAGGAGAAGACTGATCAGAGATGCAGCCAAGAGGCCCATGATCACTCTGGATGAACTGCAGATAACTACAGCTGAGGTGGGAGAGTCTGTCCATAGGACAACAATCAGTCGTGCACTGCACAAATCTGGCCTTTATGGAAGAGTGGCAAGAAGAAAGCCATTTCTTAAAGATATCCATAAAAAGTCTGGTTTAAAGTTTGCCACAAGCCACCTGGGAGACACACCAAACATGTGGAAGAAGGTGCTCTGGTCAGATGAAACCAAAATCAAACTTTTTGGCCACAATGCAAAACGATATGTTTGGCGTAAAAGCAACACAGCTCATCACCCTGAACACACCATCCCCACTGTCAAACATGGTGGTGGCAGCATCATGCTTTGGGCCTGCTTTTCTTCAGCAGGGACAGGGAAGATGGCTAACATTGATGGGAAGATGGATGGAGCCAAATACAGGACCATTCTGGAAGAAAACCTGTTGGAGTCTGCAAAAGACCTGAGACTGGGACGAAGATTTATCTTCCAACAGGACAATGATCCAAAACATAAGATAAGATAAGATGTGCTTTATTTATCTCACAGAGGAGAAATGTACATGTCACATTTGGCATGGATAGGGACACTCAGAATGTGCAAAGGGAGGAAATGTGCAAACATGTTACATGCAGGATATATGTACAATAAAGTGACAATAATTATGTACAACAAAAGTGACAAGTGTCAATTGGAAACAGTGATCATTTAAAGTGACTTATTGTACAGTTATAAAGCCAAATCTACAATGGAATGGTTCACAAATAGACGTATCCAGGTGTTAGAATGGCCAAGTCAAAGTCCAGACCTGAATCCAATCGAGAATTTGTGGAAAGAGCTGAAGACTGCTGTTCACAAACGCTCTCCATCCAACCTCACTGAGCTCCAGCTGTTTTGCAAGGAAGAATGGGCAAGAATTCCAGTCTCTCGATGTGCAAAACTGATAGACAGAGACCCCAAGCGACTTGCAGCTGTAATTGCAGCAAAAGGTGGCGCTACAAAGTATTAGCGCAAGGGGGCCAAATAATATTGCACGCCCCACTTTTCAGTTTTTTATTTGTTAAAAAAGTTTAAATTATCCAATAAATTTCTTTCCACTTCACGATTGTGTCCCACTTGTTGTTGATTATTGACAAAAAAAATATTTTTTATATCTTTATGTTTGAAGCCTGAAATGTGGCGAAATGTTGAAAGGTTCAAGGGGGCCGAATACTTTCGCAAGGCACTGTATAAACCACTTCTTCTTCTACTATATCTCTGTGTATAAACCACTTCTTCTTCTACTATATCTCCGTGTATAAACCCGGCAGACTGCACCACCAGGATACGTCACGTCCTGTCCTACGTTTGTTATTCACCACTGCCCTGACGTCATATGGAACCCGAGAATAGCAGTTTTCATCATGTAAAAATGGAAAGTTAAAGCTGAGGTACCCAATTTGTTTTTGTTAAAGTTAAATGTTGTGAACAAATCAGGCCACAGCATGAACACAGCAGGTATCTTTTACAAACTTCAAAGAAAGCCCCGTGAGTCACTATTTGACGCATACAATTTTATGACGATTTTATTCTGCTGCTTTTATGAGTTAGAGATTTTATTCTATTTTAGATTTGATTTGATTTGATTTGAGTATAGAGCTGTTATTCATGTATCTTGTGTTGTGTGCTCCTCAGTCCTACTGTTCTGTCACTTTCCACTGTTGGACAAATAAATCAATCTTAATCTTTGGGCTTTGATCTGATTGGCTGAGTGAGGGAAGTCCTCTTTTCTGCCCGACAAATCTGATCTAAAGATGTGACCGAGGCCAAAATACATGAAACGTGAAACTATTGATAGAACTAAACTATTCTGAGAGATAGGAACCACAGGAGTTGGATTTAATAACGTAGATCTATTTTTGGTGTTTTGAGGCCGAGGTGCCCGACCCAGCTCGGTTTGTTCATTCGTCACACACATGTCCAGCTTTGATCCTTTACCTCAAAATCCTGATACTGCTCTTCAGAAAGTGACTTCTTGGCCACGACCAGAGTCCGCAGTCCTTCTCTGGCCATATTCCCACACTGAAAACACAAAGAACGTCACAACACAGACACACGCACAGAGAGACACACACACACAGAGAGACACACACATACAGAGACACACGCAGACACACACACACACACACAGACAGATACAGAGACACACACACACACAGAGACAGATACAGAGACACACACACACAGAGAAACGCACAGAGACACACACAGACACACACACATACAGAGACACACGCAGACACACACACACACACAGACAGATACAGAGACACACACACACACAGAGACAGATACAGAGACACACACACACAGAGAAACGCACAGAGACACACAGAGACGGAGACAGAGACACACAGAGACACACGCAGACACACACACACACACAGACAGATACAGAGACACACACACACACAGAGAAACGCACAGACACACACAGAGACGGAGACAGAGACACACAGAGACACAGAGAGAGACCCACACACAGAAACAGAGAGACACACATACACACACAGAAACAGACACACACACACTCTCTCTGAGGTCACTAATTAGCAGTAGCGTGTCACTGCGCAGTCGTCGATAGCATGTATGATTCCCTACAGTAGAAATCGAATGGTTATAACGGAGGATGAAAAGAGGCCACAGTAAAACAAAGCAGCGGCTTATTTTTCATATGAAGCACGATCGGCTAAATGTTGATTGGTTATTGACGGTTGGCGCTTTGACAGAGGGCATATCACCCACTCCCATTGTTCTGAATATGACAAACTGTAATCACTACAACTTTATCTAGGTCACTAATTAAATCTACAGCTGCCCGCGGTGCTACAGGCTCAATAACGCCAATATAATTATGAACATAAGCACACAGGCTTCAAACGGCTGTGGTCTGAGGGAGGTCAGGAAAGCAAAGGGACAGGAATTAGGTTGGTTTGGGGACGTGTGGAGAGCCAAAGTTAGTGCTGCGGAAGGATTCAAAATCAAACCAGAATTCTAGTGGCTGCAATGAGATGATTATAAAGAATGTGATGCAACAAAAGAAAAACATATTGTTCAGACTAAAATCAGCTCACCTTGGAGTAGAGGCCTTAACACACACGGCCGGACACACAAGTTATTATCAGATGTGTTCAAGAAGAATCATCATGTATTATTCTAGTCTATCAACAATGACTCATGACATTTACTTTCTAAAACATGAGAATGTGAAATACTGTCTGGAGTAGAAAGTAGATCCTGTACGGTGAGACTGGTATCAATGGTAAAGAAACACTAGCGCCTGTAACTCCCTCTGCTACCACCAGAGGGCAGTGTAGAATTTGCCATGTTTATTTTTAAGTGTGTAAATTTCCACCAAATCTGTTAAAATCAAACCTTTTAAGGCAATAATATTAAGGTCAAAAATACATCGTTTTATCCATCCCTTATTGAACAATACGTTGATAAAACGTCAACTTCAAAAGAGATGAGTCTATTAAAGGTTTCTTCTGTCATGGTTTAAGTTTATTTCCTGTTTTATTTTGAAATGTGTTATCTCTGTGTCTTCTTTGGTTGTACTTCCTGTTGTCTGATGACCTGCCCCGCCCTCATCTGTCTCACCTGTGTCTCGTTAGTCTTGTATTTAGCCCTGTGTGTTCCTTCACTCCCTGTTCCGTCATTGTCATTCCTCGTCTGTTTTATTTCGGTCCTCGTTCGCTGTGTTTTTGGATTTGTTTCATCTTTTTATTAAATCCATTATTTTTTGCAGTTTTGCATTTTGGGTCTTTAATTTCACCCACGTGACATGTGTTTTATACATTTCATTTTTTGTGGTAGAGTTGGTGTCAGGGCAGAGTTCTTGGATTTATTATTTAACTTTTATTAATTATATTAATTTTATTATTAACGCTTGTTGTCAAAATAGACGGGTGAAGCTACCCAAGGTGAAGTCCTGACCCAGAAGCTAACAGTAGCTAACGCGAGCTAATTTTGAGTTATTTATTATAATAATAATAATAATAACAATAATGCATCAGTTTCATATTGTGCTTTTTCCAACTTTGTCCAAAACAAAACATCAGTGAAACATCCCTCATTAAATCATGCTGTAGTTTATATCATTGTATAATCAGTGACGTGTACATTACAACATGAACACCTGAGGCTTATATTCCAGTGCGGCCTGTGTAAGGACAGAATGTACTTGTTCTGTGTGGCGAATATGGTGAATTTGGTGAACGTGGTGAACGTGGTGAACGTGGTGAACGTGGTGAACGTGGTGAACGTGGTGAACGTGGTGAATTTGGCTAATATGGTGAACGTGGTGAATTTGGTGAACGTGGTGAACGTGGTGAACGTGGTGAATGTGGTGAATGTGGTGAATTTGGCTAATATGGTGAACGTGGTGAACGTGGTGAATGTGGTGAATGTGGTGAATTTGGCTAATATGGTGAACGTGGTGAACGTGGTGAATGTGGTGAATTTGGCTAATATGGTGAACGTGGTGAACGTGGTGAACGTGGTGAACGTGGTGAAGGTGGTGAAGGTGGTGAACGTGGTGAAGGTGGTGAAGGTGGTGAATGTGGTGAACGTGGTGAATGTGGTGAATTTGGCTAATATGGTGAACGTGGTGAATTTGGTGAACGTGGTGAACGTGGTGAACGTGGTGAAGGTGGTGAAGGTGGTGAACGTGGTGAAGGTGGTGAACGTGGTGAATTTGGCTAATATGGTGAACGTGGTGAATTTGGTGAACGTGGTGAACGTGGTGAACGTGGTGAACGTGGTGAAGGTGGTGAAGGTGGTGAACGTGGTGAACGTGGTGAACGTGGTGAAGGTGGTGAAGGTGGTGAACGTGGTGAAGGTGGTGAACGTGGTGAAGGTGGTGAAGGTGGTGAACGTGGTGAACGTGGTGAAGGTGGTGAATGTGGTGAATTTGGCTAATATGGTGAACGTGGTGAATTTGGTGAACGTGGTGAACGTGGTGAAGGTGGTGAAGGTGGTGAACGTGGTGAACGTGGTGAAGGTGGTGAACGTGGTGAATTTGGCTAATATGGTGAACGTGGTGAATTTGGTGAAGGTGGTGAAGGTGGTGAAGGTGGTGAACGTGGTGAAGGTGGTGAAGGTGGTGAACGTGGTGAAGGTGGTGAAGGTGGTGAACGTGGTGAAGGTGGTGAAGGTGGTGAAGGTGGTGAATGTGGTGAAGGTGGTGAACGTGGTGAAGGTGGTGAACGTGGTGAACGTGGTGAAGGTGGTGAACGTGGTGAACGTGGTGAATGTGGTGAATTTGGCTAATATGGTGAACGTGGTGAATTTGGTGAACGTGGTGAACGTGGTGAACGTGGTGAAGGTGGTGAAGGTGGTGAACGTGGTGAACGTGGTGAAGGTGGTGAACGTGGTGAATTTGGCTAATATGGTGAACGTGGTGAATTTGGTGAAGGTGGTGAAGGTGGTGAAGGTGGTGAACGTGGTGAAGGTGGTGAAGGTGGTGAAGGTGGTGAATGTGGTGAAGGTGGTGAACGTGGTGAAGGTGGTGAAGGTGGTGAACGTGGTGAACGTGGTGAACGTGGTGAAGGTGGTGAACGTGGTGAACGTGGTGAACGTGGTGAAGGTGGTGAACGTGGTGAAGGTGGTGAAGGTGGTGAAGGTGGTGAACGTGGTGAACGTGGTGAACGTGGTGAACGTGGTGAAGGTGGTGAACGTGGTGAAGGTGGTGAACGTGGTGAACGTGGTGAACGTGGTGAACGTGGTGAACGTGGTGAAGGTGGTGAACGTGGTGAAGGTGGTGAAGTATCATGTACTGACCTCTTCTTCGAGCCAGTCGTTGTACTGGACGATACTGGCCATAGCCACATCTGCCCCTTTCATGTAAAAGGTGATGTCTCCGGTCGCCTCCTCCTGCGGCACAGACCAACACCATCACCACTGGCCAAGGTTAAACATGTTCTACTGGAGGATCACAAACCGGCAAAATAAATATTTAACAAATACATGAATAAATGAAGCTTTCTGCAAGTAATTATTTGGATAAAGCTGCCATTTTTAACCAATGTTTCAAAACAAAGTAATATAACTTTATTTTGAGCATTTCACCAAAACAAAGACAGTGTAAAAGTCACAGTGGACCCAGAGAATCGCAGCATCATGGATTACAGAACGTTTATCATTCTCGTGACGCAACACAAACATTCGCTCAAATGTTTGTGTTGCAATTTTAAAAAGAGGAATAAAATGTTTTTTATTTGAATAAAAACTGTACTTTACATTAAAAAAAATCTTTTTGAATCACAGTTATTGTTATGCATTTCTTTTCACAGCTTAAATCAAATTAAAACTTACGATGTATTGGTTCCTAGTCCTTTCACTACATGTTATTGACCGTAAACATTGTACGTGATATAGTCTCTATCTCTTTCTACAGTATTTGAACCTCAGATATAAAACCTTGCTCCACTGCTGAGGCACTGGGGACAAAACTGTGACCAACATGAACCTGAACATAAAACAGCTGATAGAGTGTGAGATGCAGGAGTGTCGGTCTCACCCGGACGATGATGCCCATCCTCTTGCTCTCGGAGGTGAAGGGAAAGATCTGCAGGATGTGGAAGGACAGGATCTGAGAGGACGGAGTCTTCAGCTGCAGCGAGCCCAGGTCCCGGTTCACCAGCGTCAGCCCCACACTCTCCGTCCACCGCACCAGCGCCACCTACAGGCCACCACACAACACTCACATTATTAGCATAGTACCAATTATAAACACCGACTGTGGATTAAACTCTCACTTTTGGCAGAAGGTGGTTTGGAACTAGTTTTTCCAAGTTCAAGAGCAAACATAGGATTGTATTTCATAGATTTTTCACTACTATTCACTTAGTTAAACGTGCAATCTACTGTGAAGTTGATAAATCTAATTATGGAATTTTTTTATAGAGGAAAAAAATCTAAACTTCAATAAATGTTTCTCTTTTCAAAGCTCAATAATTGTCTCTTGTCATTTACACATGAAGTGTTTTTAAAAGACTCTGACTTCATGCATGTTTACATTTTCTGAATCTTTGACACATGGATGATTCTGCAGCGTTACCCTCATATTTGAAGGAAATATCCGACAGGAATCAATATTCTTGCGTTTTTATACAGAGATGCACAGACACTGGTTCGGGTATCAGGTATAGGGTCAATATCATATGACTCCATTTCCACATTTTTTATTTTCCGCAGCGTCACGACAGTAGACAGCAAGTGTTGCCATGGTGATCTCCCAATTACGGCAGTGAGAAAACAAGCTAGCGGCGAGCGGACAAGATGTATGTATGTGTTCAGGAAGAAACTGTCACGAGGTTGGTCCAAAACAAAACCAAAAACTTGATAAAATTCACCACCGCAGAGTAACCTTTGTTAGCACCAGCTCTGTATCTACAAAACATTTATATGAGTGAGTACGACAGTGGCTCTTATTGTTGAAGGCTAAAACAATCGCTAAAATGTTTCATTGTTAAAGCATTGTATTATTGTTGAAATGAGAAATTATACATTTTACATTTCAGTTGTATTATTTTGATGAAATCCCAGATAACAAAATTCAGTACTCGTATCGGTATGTGGCATTGGAAAGAACGTAAATAAAAGTACTCATATCAGTTTTGAAAAAAGGCGGTATCGGTGCATCCCTATTTTTAGGTAGTAATACAGTGCCTTGCGAAAGTATTCGGCCCCCTTGAACCTTTCAACATTTCGCCACATTTCAGGCTTCAAACATAAAGATATAAAATTTTTATTTTTTGTTAAGAATCAACAACAAGTGGGACACAATCACTTGGGGTATGTCTCTATCAGTTTTGCACATCGAGAGACAGGAATTCTTGCCCATTCTTCCTTGCAAAACAGCTGGAGCTCAGTGAGGTTGGATGGAGAGCGTTTGTGAACAGCAGTCTTCAGCTCTTTCCACAGATTCTCGATTGGATTCAGGTCTGGACTTTGACTTGGCCATTCTAACACCTGGATACGTCTATTTGTGAACCATTCCATTGCCGAATACTTTCGCAAGGCACTGTATATATACCTCTCCTGCTGTGTTAAAACCTGACATTAATGCCACATAATAATGTCGTTTTAACCAGATTATCTCATCCTACACTTCTACCTCTTACTCCCATTGAACTGAGAGAGTGTGTGTGCAAACAGACCACCCACATCCGTAACCAACACTATATAAATGTGTAATTGTCCGGGGCCCTCTGATCCTCGGTGCTGGGAGCGTCCCCTCAGCTGTAGAGACAGAAGTGTTTTTCTGTTTTCTTCCTCTTTGCGGAGCACAGGAACCGCGGCCCTCAGAGCTCAGCTGCGCACCACTCCACCCTCAATGGCTTCATTTTCAATTTAGACACTCCACGCTTGTTATTATACTCTGACCTACAAATTGGGACTTCCTGTTAATAGCCATCATTTCTCCCGCTCGCCCTTTGAGCCGCGGAGAAAGAGCCGCTTATATTTACCAACACACATCTGTGTCTCGTTACACAGGGGCCGAAGGGGGCTGTGGGGGGAGCTGCTCCATTTCAGCACATATCAGACCATTCATTCACAATCTAAGAGAAGAACTAACTAACAATGATTTAGTTTAAGTAACATCTAGAAATATTCATGATAAGATAGACTTTATTTTTGGTCTTGATATTGATCTCACACTGGAATTTGGCGCAGATAGAATCACTCAGATTTGTGAAAAAGACAGAAGTGTGAAACGTGTTAAAAATAGTCTGTGCCAGAGAATGTATGGAAGCAAGTATCACAGTAAGTAATGTTTTCAGCCTGTAACTCCCAAAGCTGCCACCAGAGGGAGGTGTTTTTTTCCAAATTCGAAAATGACTGGTTGCAACCACAGCCATGAAGTTTCTGATCGATGTGATTGAGAAATAAACAAATACCAGGTGTGTTTATGATGAACGAACAAAGTAACAAAGCTTTAAAAAGTCGATTTTGCATAATATGTCTCCTTTAAAGGTCCTCAGCGCTCGGAGGTTATGAGGAGAGTTCTTATCTCCTTAACAACGACTCCTTACATTAGAACGAACCATAGACAGAGTCCACGTGGACAGATCAGACGATACCAGTCGATGAAGCGCCGAGATGAAAGACAAATAACACTACAGACCGACTCCGTGAGAAAATTAAATATTGATCAATGTGAGCGGAGCCGGACAAAAGCAAAGGACAGAAGAATAAATAAATATATACATCAAAGGGGGAGGGGCAGAGCAGGTGAAGGGAGAGACTGCATCTGTCTGAGAAGTCCTGATCTGAAAACACTGAAACTTTCACTTCATGGAATTAACACAATGTTTAAAGGGCCCCTCTCTGGCCTCTCCCCTCTCTGGCCTCTCCCCTCTCTGGCCTCTCCCCTCTCTGGCCTCTCCCCTCTCTGGCCTCTCCCCTCTCTGGCCTCTCCCCTCTCTGGCCTCTCCCCTCTCTGGCCTCTCCCCTCTCTGGCCTCTCCCCTCTCTGGCCTCTCCCCTCTCTGGCCTCTCCCCTCTCTGGCCTCTCCCCTCTCTGGCCTCTCCCCTCTCTCCCTCTCCCCTCTCTGGCCTCTCCCCTCTCTGGCCTCTCCCCTCTCTGGCCTCTCCCCTCTCTGGCCTCTCCCCTCTCTGGCCTCTCCCCTCTCTGGCCTCTCCCCTCTCTGGCCTCTCCCCTCTCTGGCCTCTCCCCTCTCTGGCCTCTCCCCTCTCCGGCCTCTCCCCTCTCCGGCCTCTCCCCTCTCCGGCCTCTCCCCTCTCCGGCCTCTCCGGCCTCTCCCCTCTCCGGCCTCTCCCTCTCCGGTCTCTCCCTCTCTGGTCTCTCCCTCTCTGGTCTCTCCCTCTCTGGTCTCTCCCTCTCTGGTCTCTCCCTCTCTGGTCTCCCCTCTCTGGTCTCCCCTCTCTGGTCTCCCTCCAGTCTCACCTCATCAGGACTGGAGGCCTGGTAGGTGCGGTTGTCGTCGCTGAAGTCCTGGTCGGCCTCGGTGGTCTCTGGTTCCCCGTGGACCTGGTTCTCGTAGACCGGGGTGACGTTGTGGCACAGAGCAATGGCCTTCACAGCCTCATGGATCCTGCTGCTCACAGACTTTCTCACTTTTGGACCCGATGACTGCGGCTTCCGGGACGGAGTGGCTGCACTGGTGCTGTTGGAGGGCTGCGGGGGGGCCTGGGTTTACAGAAACACACACTTAGAAATGCAACTTTTAATGTTTAATATGGAGAGACTCGGCTATGGGCTACACACACAAAGGCATACGAACTAAATGATAAATGCTAAAGCGAGGCTAAATGCTAAAGCTAGGCTAAATGCTAAATGCCTCACTCACTCGGGCTCATTAAATACGTCACGGTAAACTCAGATCCATGGTTTCAATCTGCAAAAGGAGTTACTGTAGCCCCTCCCACCTGTTGACGGAGTCAATGGAGCAAATCCAGACCTTAGAATGAAATGAAATGAGTACTACGGTGTGGTAAGACCAGGCTAGTACTATACATACTCCACTATCTGTTTCTCTATTTTATAAAATGTTAAATTATAAGACATTCTTTTTCTCTGCTTTGTTTCATTCAGACTGTATAGAACTGGCAAATAAATACACAAATAAAATAAACAAAGAATCAATACTCATATTATAAATGAAATAAAAGTAGAATTGCTCCACCTACTGGCATTTTATCAAACTAAACAAAAAAACATTCATATTCAGTCTTATTTTCTCTCATCGTCATCGACCAATCAGCTGCAGCCCTTTCTTTTTCTTTTCTTTGTTTCAATAGTTTGGGGATAATATCTGTTTACAAAGTGCATAGTACAGATTAGCTCCTTGTAAACACCTGGAACACAAACATTACAGCTCCTCGGATCCGAACCTAGAACCCTCAGAGTAAATATGAGCCGTTCTGTTAGCGACGGGAGAAAAAGACCCCGTCACTTCTCTGGTCGCTCTCAAAGGCACAGATGGTTTGTGGGAGCAGCAGCTGTTTGGACTGAACACCATCGTTTAGTCACGGCGCCCGCGAGCCGCCCGCAGAGGGACGCACTTACAGTACGGAGCACACGGAGGACGCCGTGATGGATTCACAGTTTCGCCGGAGTCTGTCATGTTGTGTCAATAAAACAAAGTGCTTCATCATTCTTCAACCCTCCAACGCTTTCCAGAACAGAACCACAAATGTGAACATGAGCCAAGCTTCACAGTTTCCTTTTCTCTCTGGCTGCTGAAGAGTCTGTACTTCATATATTTACAGGTAGAAGGTTGTTTGATATTTGAGGCACTTTGATGCACTTTTTGTAGTAGTATTTGAATCTTTGAGGTTTTGTGGAAGTGTAAAGCGCATTATAAATAAAGTGTATTATTATTGTCATTATTAGCATTTCATTTCATAGATCCATTTTGTTTTTTATTTTTTCTGCTACTGGACACTTGAATTTCTCCAACAGGGATCAATAAAGTATCTATCTATTTTATATCATTTATTTGAGCCCTAAATCAAAACTGTGGTTGGCGATTCCCGACCAAGAGATCAGAGAATCAAAGCGTCTGAACACAGGAAATGCAGTAATAACAAACACATAGAAGCCTTTGGTCCAAAAGGAGTGAGTCTGATGTCGATAACGGCTGTAAACCTCCTCGCGCACTTTACACACTTTTCTAACCACATGTACCGACGATTACTGACGACGATCGCACAGAGATCATGTTCCATCCGTCAACCTTCTTCCCCTTAATCCAATTCTGTATCCGGGGTGGCAGTCAGAGCACCAGCCCCTCACTGATCCTCCTGCAGGTGCCGAGTCCACAGGAGCTGAGATCTTTCAGCAGAGGCTTCAGGCAAAATGGGGTTAAGTGTCTTGCTCAAGGACACAACGGCAGCAGACATCAGTGGGAGTTGGTGGAGAAGGTCTCAAGGCCAATGCTCTACCAACTGAGCTACTGTCGGCACCATAAAAAACTAATGTTATCTTTCAGAATCGAATTAAACAAACTCTTGGATTACGTCATCGCCATGGTAACCCGGATGATGCAGATGATGAGTTTATGGTCGTTCTCTCACCAGAGCGTAGGACTGGATGATGTGGCTCTGGATCTCGTCCATGGTGTCGGTGCCGTAGGACACTGTTCCCAGGTGAAGACGCTTAAAGATCATCTCATTCTGCGTCAGAGTTCCTGCAGATCCACAACCGAAGGTCAGAGTTTGTATCAACACGACAAAAGAGGATTAGTTACAGTATCTGTGGAATATGTTCATCTACTGTCATGTGATCAAATGGTCGAGAGAGAGACAGAGGGAGAGAGAGAGACAGCGAGAGAGACAGAGGGAGAGAGAGAGACAGCGAGAGAGAGAGAGAGAGACAAAGAGAGAGAGAGAGACAAAGAGAGACAGAGAGAGAGAGGGAGAGAGTGAGAGGGAGAGAGAGAATGTGGGAGAGAGAGATAGACAGACAAAGATACACAGAGGGAAACAGGCAGAGAGAGAGAGAGAGAGAGAGACGGAGCAAGAGAGAAAGAGCAAGAAGGAGAGAGACAGAGAGACAGAGAAGGAGAGGGAGAGAGGGAGAGCGACTAAGACAGACAGGAGAGGCCAAACAGAAACAGGTCTGTAGTTCTATTCTAGTGTGGCTCTGACAGGGCAGAGACAGAGAGAGAGAGACAGAGAGAGAGAGACAGAGCAGAGACAGAGACAGAGAGACAGAGGCAGAGAGACAGAGAGAGAGCGACAGGGCAGAGGCCGAGAACAGAAGTCAGGTCTGAGAACAGAGGAACGATGATAACTGGGTCTAATGCATCGATCATGTGTTTAAGAGTTTGTGCGAGCTCCGTGTCTCCGCTCAGATTAATGTTGCTCACACCTAATCTACACTAGCACCAGATTAATCTAACGGCACAGAGCAGTACGACCACCTGAGCCGCCGTCGCTAACGTCACCGTGACCTGCATCAGCAACAACACGCCATTTACAACAACACGCCATTTACAACAACACGCCATTTACAACAACACGCCGTTCGTAACCGCACGACATACGGGGGCAAAGGGGCAACAATCACTCACTATTCATTGTGATATACTGAGTTTATAATGTGTGTCTCACTGTCTCTCTGTGTGTCTCTCTCTCTGCGTCTATCTGTGTCTCTCTCTCTCTGTGTCTCTCTCTCTCTCCCTGTGACTCTCTCTCCCTGCGACTCTCTCTCCCTGCGACTCTCTCTCCCTGCGACTCTCTCTCCCTGCGACTCTCTCTCCCTGCGACTCTCTCTCCCTGCGACTCTCTCTCCCTGCGACTCTCTCCCTGCGACTCTCTCTCCCTGCGACTCTCTCTCCCTGCGACTCTCTCTCCCTGCGACTCTCTCTCCCTGCGACTCTCTCTCCCTGCGACTCTCTCTCCCTGTGACTCTCTCTCCCTGCGACTCTCCCTGTGACTCTCCCTGCGAGACTCTCTCTCCCTGTGACTCTCTCCCTGTGACTCTCTCTCCCTGTGACTCTCTCTCCCTGTGACTCTCCCTGCGACTCTCTCTCTCCCTGCGACTCTCTCTCCCTGTGACTCTCTCTCCCTGTGACTCTCTCTCCCTGTGACTCTCTCTCCCTGTGACTCTCCCTGTGACTCTCTCTCTCCCTGTGACTCTCTCTCTCCCTGTGACTCTCTCTCTCCCTGTGACTCTCTCTCTCCCTGTGACTCTCTCTCTCCCTGTGACTCTCTCTCTCCCTGTGACTCTCTCCCTGTGACTCTCTCTCCCTGTGACTCTCTCTCCCTGTGACTCTCTCTCCCTGTGACTCTCTCTCCCTGTGACTCTCTCTCCCTGTGACTCTCTCTCCCTGTGACTCTCTCCCTGTGACTCTCTCCCTGTGTCTCTCTCTCCCTGTGTCTCTCCCTCCCTCTCTAGTTAAGTGTCTTGCCCAAGGACACAACAACAGCAGACATCAGTGGGATGTCTGTCTCCAGGCTAAAAGACTAAAGCCGGACTATAATCCTCGGTGAAACGGTCTTGTACCTGTCTTGTCCGTGAGGAGGTAGACCAGTCGGCCGAGCTCCTCTGGGATGGTGCTGGTCCTCACCACGGTCCCGGGGATGTTCTGGTCCTTCATGATCATCCAGCCGTATGCCGCCTTCCCCATGTCCAGGTTCACACGCAGACTGAGGGGACGCCATTTCAACAGCTCAGTCCACACACTCCACATGCACCACGCTCTTAATCCACAAACTGATTATGAGTTCTAGACACAACGCTGCTCTGTCCATGGATTTGTCAGAGTGTACAGAGTTTGAAAAAGAGCATTTGGACAGATGGGGCGGGGGTGCGTCTTTCCTGACATTAGTGTGAATGGAACCTACATATTCGCTTGCATCATAAAGTAAAATGCTGTGAACAAACCATAACAGTTTTTTATTTTGCCGACTCAAGAAAGAGCCCTGTGAGTCTTTATTTGACTTTTTGGGCTGAAAGTGGATTTTTAAATATTTTTCTCCACACAGTTAGTGCCACTTTATTGCCTAATTCGTGTTGACTTATTGTGTTGATAAATATTTGTTAGTCTCACCTTATTTCTGGCTGTTTTATTACCATTCCTGTGAAGTTGTATGTTTTTGTAAGATTCTATTGAAGGTTTATAATGATCCATTCTGTTCTTATTGACGGACACACAGTCTGCTCTGAAACTCTTTTGGAATTATGTTTCTATCGAGATACCAATGCTTCTGTAGATGTGGAATTTCAGGAAAGCTTCAGGTTTTGGAGGTGGTTCTGAAGGTTTTCCAGGTCTGTGATACCAGCTGTGTCAGGGCCTAATGGGTTAATGGGTCAATAGAACCAGTTTGGAGGAATAAATACGTATATTTAATTTAATTCGATTACATTCTTGTACAGGCCTAAATCACAACAGTGGTTTTCACAGAGGACTTAACAAAACTGCCAAATGAGCCAACACAGATCAGAGAATCAAACAGATCTAACAAGAAATGCAACATTAAAAACACATTGGTCCAAAAGAGCAGAGACTAATGTCAGACACTAACGACTCATTAACGAGCGCGAGGTCTGTCCAGAGAAATATCAGACCGCAGCCTTAAGGTACAGACCGAGCCGTGGCGAGGTTAATAAATGTTTTATTATATGACTATTTTTAATGTATGCAAATATGGACGGGTTTGAAGTAAAAACACATTTGACCAAAGTGTCAAACTGTGACATGAAGAACAGAGGATTGAGGCGCTGTAAGTTCTCAGTCTGTGTCTTTACCAATGCTTTTTACATATCTGTGATGTTCATGTCCCACTTGGTTTTCCTGGTCCTGGTTTTACCTTTCTGGTCTGTAACCAAGTTATGATAAACTGTGTGATATTCACCTGATGGGGATGATGTAGGAGAAGAGCACCACGAATCTGAACAGGTTCCTGAACCAGGGCCCGCTGAAGCCCTGCAGCGCCACCATGACCACGGACAGAACCACCTGCGCCAGGAACAGGGCTTTGGTCAGACGGTTCAGCTCCAGGTCCAGGAGGCCCACCTGCAAACAAAGTCCCATAGAACTTTATGTAAATTAAAACCAACCTCAGCTGACGGAGAAACTGTCGGAGAACCTGACGGAGAACCTGACGGAGAACCTGACGGAGAACCTGACGGAGAACCTGACGGAGAACCTGACGGAGAACCTGACGGAGAACCTGACGGAGAACCTGACGGAGAACCTGACGGAGAACCTGACGGAGAACCTGACAGAGAACCTGACAGAGAACCTGACAGAGAACCTGACAGAGAACCTACAGCTTTCATAAAGGTCAGATTTTGTGGGGATGTTAGTGTCCCTTGTCGTCCTGAACTTTTTTTCTTCTTAAATCCTTCGGTTTTGTTTAAATCTACATTTTATTTTTTATTTTTACAAACTCTGCTCCTTTCCTTCCCGCTCTGACTCCGCTCTGATCAGCTCTGATTGGTCAGAGCGTGGCCGAGCCCCTCTGTGCACGTGCATGAGAGCCACACACGTGTATTTGGAGCAATGCATCATGGGAGCTCGTTCACTGCGCAGAACCGGGAGAACCAGACGATGCCCAAATATGGGCGAGTTCCGCTACTTTTGGTCTCCATGAAGTCCCATGATCTACTGAGCACAGGCCGTTCATTTGAACAGGACGCCATCTTGGATCACCGGGGCTTGGGGGTGTCCAAACTTTATGAAACGATTGAAGAACAAAGATTACTTTCACACAGATCCTCGATGACCATCTGATCTCTCACTTTTGTTCCATGTGTTTTGTAATAACTACAGCAAAAATTCAGAATTTTTACTGAAAATGTTTGTCGTCGTTTCTGTTTGTAAAGTTACATATAAAGTTATATATTGTCTGTGTTTGCTCCTGGACAAAAAAACTGTTGAAAAGACGATGGAAACTTTAACTCTTTCATGGTTTCCTCAAACATTTGGTGGATCACTTTATGAGTCACTAACAGTACAAGCCTGCAGGTGAATACAGGTCCTGTCACACCTCTGAAGCTAAGCAGGGCAGGACCTGGTTAGTGCTGTGATGGAAGACCTCTGTGAACAGCAGGTGCCACAGTGGGGCGGCTGCTGTGGTTGTGTCCTTAGGCAAGACACTTCCCCCACATTAGAATGAGTCTGGTGTGTGTGTGAATGGTTGGTGGTGGTGGGAGGGGCCTATGCTTCTGTCAGTGTGCCCCAGGGCAGCTGTGGCTACAGTAGTAGTTTATCACCACCGTGTTTGGTGGTTCTGTTCATGTAAACTTCCTGAATAATTAAAGTAAAGCTCTGAAGAAGGTGTCGTCTTTCCTCGTCCATGATTCAATAAAGTTAACATTTGATCATAGTATTAATGATGTCACTGTCTTTAAACCTGTAAATCTCATCTCAGTCTCTGCACCTTTTCACTCGACTCTATGAAGCATTTTCACCTCTGTAGAAGTATCTTGAAGTATAAATATTGAAATAACCTTCTCTTCGTTTTAAAATCTGAATGAATGAGCATGAGCTTTAGACTTTGTCAATATGAATATAATTTCTGTGCGCAGCTTTGAAGAACAATCAAATACTGGAAAACGGGGGAATTAAACAAAGAAATATTCTCCATTTCAGAAACAAACGTGAAAACTAAACAGACTTGTGTGTTTTAAAACAGTGACTTCACACCAAGCACAACATTTCTAATAATAAATATTTGCTTCATCACCGCGACCGGCTCCGGAAAGACAATAATATAACATTTCATTTTTTCAATCCCAAAACCCTGAGTCTCGCCGACGTCTTATTTACCAAAGCCGGCAAAAAAAGAAAAGAAACGAACAAACAGCGCTGCGTCCTCGTCCAACGCTCGGGCGGCTCAGAAAGAATACATTGAGATTCCGTATTGAGGTGCTTCTGGAGTTCAAACGGGACAAAGCCAGGGTCGGAGGTTCCTTTATTTTTGGAGTGTGTGTCGCAGCCAATGGAGCATGTGGGAAAGAGCCTCCCCCTTCTCCACAGACACACACTGCTCTCACAAAAACAACACAACATCAGTACCCGGCAAAAAAAGAACAAGGAGGGAGTGAAAACACAGGAGGAGGGAGAGGAGGAGGAGATCAGGACCATGTGCAGGGATTCTCAATGTGTGGTGTGTGGGCACGGGCTGGGGGTACTCTGGGCCATCTTTCTGATATCTATGTTGTGTGGTCATTTCATTTTCAAACTAGTCAAAATACAAAAATGGAACGGTGATAAACGGCTACAAAAGGGGTCGGATCACACAGACACACACTCACATAGACTGAGAGACACACAGAAAGACACACAGGCACAGATGCACACACACAGACACACACAAAAAGACAGAGAGAGACACACACAGAGAAAGAGACACACACATAGACACACAGGCACAGAAAGACAGAGAGACACACACACACACAGGTACAGACACACACATACACACACACAGGCAGAGAGAGAGACACACACAGAAAGAGACACACACACAGAAAGACAGACACACAGACAGAGAGACACACACACCCCCACACACACTCACAGGCAGAGGGGGAGACACACACACCCCGTTTTTTTTGCTTCAGAAAAACGTTAGTTCTGTAATTTTTTGCAGGTACAATTATGACAGTCACAGGAAGCCGTTTTGGAACATCTCCTTGTTTAGACCAGTCCAGACCAGACCAGACCAGTCCAGACCAGACCAGTCTAGACCAGCACACGTGGAGTCTGACAGTCGGATTAAGTCCTGCTCAAAGCTCAACGTGAGAATAAGTTGTTTTATGCAAATACCATTGAGCCACAACCTACTTCACATTCACAAGACCTGTCTGAAACATGTCTGAAAATGGAGTGTGAGGGCTATATTTTATTTCTAGTTTGAATGTGGTTTCTGTAGAAGGAAAAACAATCTTTAGTTTTAAAATGCTGTAAAAATGTGTATAAGTAATATTTAATTTCAACATTTCTGTCAACGTAGTGCGTCATATCCTATGACGCGCGGTCACGCGGCCCCGCCCCATGCGGCCGCTGCTGTAAACAAACCGGCGTGTGTGCATGATAGACTGTAGGTGCGCATGGATCCCAAAGCTAAAACGAGAAAGAGTCGATAACAAGACTGGACTAAGAATGACAATGAACATTTTCTTTCATTCAATGAGGAAGGACTGCTTCATGTTTGTAATGAAAAGTTTTGTTGCAACACGAGGAACAATGACGCGCAAAACGACGTAAACGGTGATTACGTGAAGGATTCATTCATCAAAAATTCAGAGCACCTATTTTCAGACTTCAAAACCTTCTCGAAGACGGTGAAAGAAAAGGCCATTAAGGATTTTAATTCAGCTCCAGCAAACTTCAGCCTGTGACGTGATGGATATGAGCAGACAGTGATGCAGGTGTGTGACCTCTGAGCCCAAAGTAGATTTATTTTTCTGTATTTCTACAATTGCATGAAGGCAAAAAAACGGAAGTTAAACTAAAGCAGAGTCGTCACGTGTTGCGTCATTCACGACACGCGTGGTGCGACACGCTGCAGTGAAAATACACATTTGATAATCATGAATGATTATTATGTATTTGTAGCCTTTACTTTGTCATTTAGATATTAGGCTAATGTAGCTAATACATCTTGCAGCCTGTGTTAACTTCATAAAAGCCTTATACAAGGCTGTTATTTTTTGCGGCTCCAGACAGATGTTTTTAGTTTTTTTTGTCAATTATGGCTCTTTGAACATTTTGGGTTCCCGACCCCTGATCTATACAGACCAGAGAGAGAGACCAGAGAGAGAGACCAGAGAGAGAGAGACCAGAGAGTGAGACACCAGAGAGAGAGACCAGAGAGAGAGAGACCAGAGAGAGAGAGAGACCAGAGAGAGAGAGACCAGAGAGAGACCAGAGAGAGAGAGACCAGAGAGAGAGACCAGAGAGAGAGAGAGACCAGAGAGAGAGAGACCAGAGAGAGACCAGAGAGAGAGAGACCAGAGAGTGAGACACCAGAGAGAGAGACCAGAGAGAGAGAGACCAGAGAGAGAGAGAGACCAGAGAGAGAGAGACCAGAGAGAGACCAGAGAGAGACCAGAGAGACCAGAGAGAGAGAACAGAGAGAGACCAGAGAGAGACCAGAGAGAGACCAGAGAGAGACCAGAGAGAGACCAGCGAGAGACCAGAGACAGAGAACACACAGACAAGCATCAGAAAGCACAGCAATGAATTGGAATTCAGACCGGCAACGCTGAAACGCTGAAGCCTCGCTCACCAGACGCGCATTCTCTAGTTTTCAGACGCAGAGGACGTCACACCAGAACGTCCTGACGCGAGCCGGAAGTACCGGAAGTAGTCGGCTCTGATGCTAACAGAGCTATGCTAGCGGCTCCTTGTGTACAGATCTTCTCCAATATGCAGCTTTGCAGCGTATCTTTGCTCACAGACCTTCCACGGGCTTTATATAACAGCAGTATGTGTTCACGGAGGTGACTTATACAACAGCAGTATGTGTTCACGGAGGTGACTTATATAACAGCAGTATGTGTTCACGGAGGTGACTTATATAACAGCAGTATGTGTTCACGGAGGTGCGTTGTACGTGTTTTCATATCATTAAACGGTATTTCCGCATCGGCGAACACACTCGAAGCAGGTGCATAAGGTCACAGGAGCATGACAACACATATTTTCACAAGCACAGAGTCCCCCATTGTCAGCCCTGGTTTGAGTTCTGGTGTAGCCTGGTGTAGCTCCTGTTTTGGCTGTTTACAGTATTTTCAGTCTGCTCGCTCAGTCCGCTAATGTCCCCGTGACCACTTTGCTGCTCTCTGATTGGTTGTCGCACGAACGTCCCAAGGAAAGGATGATCAGAATCCATCTCCTGTGGGCGTCGATTTTTCGTTCCTGCTCCTCCCCTTTGACTTTCCCGCCAAGTCTGTGCGTGTCTACTGAACAGTCCGTTCGTGCCGAGAGGTGCGTGCGTTGTGACGGTCGAACGCGCGCATGATCCGGTCGGAAAGCACCATAAGTCTGTATTTTTCAGTTTC